ACAGTTCCTTGAGTACCAGCAAGAGTAATCCCTAAGCACAGAATCAGGAGTAAGCCCTGAACACTACCAGGTGGGGCTCTAAAAAATAAAAAAAGTTTTTTTATTTTTCAGAGGACTGGAGAGAGTAGTGGGGGTGAGGCACTTGCCTTATATGCAGCTGGCCCCAGTCCATATCCCTAGTGCTATGTAAGGTCCCCCCAAAGCCGTGTCAGGAGTCATTCCTGAGCACAGAGCCAGGAAGAGCCCCTGAGCACTGCTGGGTGTTTCACAGAGGATATTTCAGACACTTAAGGAAATGATTTAGTAAATTAAATAAATAAAATACTTTGTAGAAATGACTGCCCTCTCATCTGGCTGTTTCCTTCACGTGTTCCACGAGCAGCACTGTGCTAACTGCTTGCTTGGCGTGGTGTGAGGGCTTTGAGGCTCCTTCTCAATCCTGGTGCTTTCCCCACCATGCCCGCGACGGCAGCCCACCCACCAACAACGACTTCACCCCAGCTGCTTTCTTTTATCCACTCGCTGTGACGGGCACACTGAGAGAATACACCATTGTTCTTTAATGGGAACAAAGTTTTACTGAAGGCATATTGTAGTTATTGAAGATTAAATCATGTTCTACTCCACACTTGTAAAGGCTTTTTGCTGTGACCCTCGATATCTGAGGAGAATCAACAGTGGCCACACACCAGAATTACTGGTGGGGGGTCGAGGGGAAGGGGTAATTAAATGCTTATGGCAGGAAGTCACTTCTGACTAATAAATCACCACTGTTGGCCTTCGTATTTCTTGTAAGTGTCCCCCATGATCCTAATATACAGGACTGAAGCCAGTGAGCTAAATTCTAGCCTGCGGCTTGTAATCTCAGGACGTTAGCTGACACCCGTGAGGCTAGTTAAGTGCTCTGAGCTATGGCATCCAGCAGTTCAGTTTAAGTTCTGATTCAGTTGCTCTGTGATTGTGAATGAATGACTTAGTCTCTCTGCACTAGTTCGCTCATCTGTAGATAGTGCCTACCTAAAAGGACAGGGTGACCATCACAGTTTCCTTAAGTCTTTGCTCTTTGGGGTTTGGGCTGTATATATAAAACACCAAGTTTGGGCTGGAGAGAGAGCACAGCGGGTAGGGCATTTGCCTTGCACGCGGCCATCCCGGGTTCGATTCCCAGCATGCCATATGGTCCCCTGAGCACCGCCAGGGGTAATTCCTGAGTGCAGAGCCAGGAGGAACCCCTGTGCATCGCCGGGTGTGACCAAAAAGCTAAAAAAATAAAAAAAACACCAAGTTTACAAAAAAAGAAAAAGGAAAATACCTGAAAATTTAATCAACAAACTAGCAGTTAACTTTCCAAGTAGCATTGCATCAGTTCAGATCTAGATTTTTATTATTTTTTCTTTTTTGGGTCACACCCGACGATGCACAGGAGTTACTCCTGGCTCTGCACTCAGGAATCACTCCTGGCGGTGCCCAGGGGACCATATAGGATGTTGGGAATTGAACCCGGGTTGGCCACGTCAAGGCAAACGCTCTACCTGCTGTGCTATTGCTCCAGCCTCCAGATCTAGATTTTAAAGGTACTCATTTTTGAGAGAATGTTCCAATTTCTTCCATGTTCCACAGCCAGCATAGCCAATGCAAGAGGGAGAGTGTTGAAAAGCCAAAAAGGGGGTAAAGCTGAGGACAGCACCAGAGAAACACCCCTGCATGAGGTGAAAGTAGACAAAGAGAGATTACCTCAAAGAGAGTCAGCAGCTGGGTACCAAGTCTAAAGAGGTATATACAGTAGGTTCACCACTTGAGAGAAGCAGCAGTCACCCCTAGCAACCCTCAACAACTGTCAGAGAGAGAAGGTCGGAAATTGGAAGAAGCAGATCACACCGTACATTCTGTAATTTGCAACCTCCCTTGAAGGACTAATTTCATAGGGGTACTAACCCAGTTCTTAGCCATGGTCTAAGCCATGGTCTGAGTTGAAAGTTCAGCAACACAAATAATGGACTCAATTTAAAGGTATTTTAAAGCTGAATTAATTGAATTTAGCTTAAACTTGACATCGTTCTAATAACACCAAACATTAGCCAAGCAGCACAAATGCTGGCCTACTTCGACCATGAGTGTGGAAAGGTCGGACTACAGCTGAATCTCACGAACACAATGTTTATGAGAAACAGCCTCGTTCCTGACGCTCCATTTGCTCTCAACGGAACGACCATCTCCAAATGCAACAGTTACATGTACCTAGGTCGAGAAGTCAACATGACAAATGACCTGGCACCTTAGTTGCGCATGAGGAAGAGAGCAGCTTGGAACGCCTTCAAGAGCATCAAAGAAATAGCTAAGAGGACGAAGAACCTCCGGCTCCAGGAATATCTCTTTGATTCCACTGTTCTTCCTGCATTAACATACGCCTCAGAGACCTGGGCCCTACAAAAACAGGATGAGAACGCTATTTGGGTCTCCCAAAGAGGAATCGAAAGAGCTGTGATTGGAGTATCACGCTTCACTCAAATGAGAGAAAGAATCCAGAGTTCCAACCTTCGTTGACGATCAAGATTCGGGGATGCTTTCTCTTTTGGCAAGGCATCGAAAATTAGATGGGCTGGACACTAATGGGATTTGGAGACAACCGCTGGACTAGAGCCATTACCGGCTGGATTCCAAGGGACATCAAAAGATCGCATGGCTGCCCACCTATGAGATGGTCAGACTTCTTTGTCAAGACCCTGAATGATCGGTTTGAGGCTCTTCATGTTCCTAGAAGGAACAGAAGCCATTGGGCTACACTAGCACACAACAGGGGCAAATGGAGACGTTACTGGCGCCCGCTCAAGCAAATCAATGATTAACGGGAAGTCAAATGATCAAGTGATCAAGCTTAAACTTTAGTTGATAATATTGGCTATAGTTTAACAAAAAACGACTTACACTTTCTCCAGCCCCCCTGCTCACTTTTTTTGGTGAAACAAAAAAAAAAAAAGTTTTTTAAATTTTTTTTTACAAGGTAACTCATAATATTTGATTACCTTTAATATTCAAACACCAATCCCACCACCATTACACCTTCCCACCACCATAGTTAGGATGATCCATCCTGAACCCCAATCCAGGGGTCCCAAAAGCAGAACTGAAATAATAAACTTTGTATTGTTCGGAGAGCCCGGCAAGCTACTGAGAGTATCTCGCCCACACGGCAGAGCCTGGCAAGCTACCTGTGATGTATTCGATATGCCAAACACAGTAACAACAAGTCTCATGATGGAGACGTTACTGAGCCCGCTCGAGCAAATAGATGAACAACGGGAGGACCGTGACCGTGACTGATAGTTTGTTATGAAAAACCGCTGAAAATGCTACAACAAAGTATCCTTAGAGGAAAGAGTGTGAAGATTATTCTATTTCAACAGGGATCAATAAGACCTTCTATAAGCGATCACTAACATGTTGTTAAAGGTTGATCCTTGTGTGCTTATATATATATGTAAATATTCATATACGTATACATATATAGACATATGTATATTTCCCTCTAAGTTTGGTTGCCTACTACTTTGAACCCCATCAAATGTGGTGTGGTATTCTTCAAGTATGGGTAGGGTGTGTCCTATGAAGTGTCGCACGGTCCAGAAAAGAGGCTCCGCCCAAGCATGTGGAGAGCGGCCTGAAGCAAGAAAAATTTTATTGAAACTTATTTAGAAAGATGTGAAAGGAGAGAATGAAAGAAAGAAGTACATGCTCAAGAGAGAGCACAGGCTTCTTTAGAGTGGAAATAGCAAGCAAAGAAATCCAAGATGAGTAAGCTAGATGCATGGGAAGCGCGGGCTTGATGAGCAAGCCTGAAAGATTTTCCTGCAGAAAAAAAATTTCTACAGAAATTCCTAGCTGTAGAAAAGCCAAAAGATTCAGCACATGACACACACCACTGCTTCGGTATGGTGACTATGCCAAACAAGGCTCAGCATTACAACATGTCTATGGACCAGGAGACTTGATACTGGTAAGATGTTCACTCTCATAGTTCCCAAAGAGCCAGTGACTTCAAATACAATCAGTCACTTTATTTAATGGCAGAAATGAGCTGATTCTAAAATTGAAACAAGCAAACACAATATCTTTCACAGTCAAGATAATCTTGAGGGAGAAAATGAAAAATTAAAGAACCAGACCTGAATTTAAGAGTTGTCAATCCCGTAACAGAAAGTTTGCTAGAAGTAAGTTTCATATGAGGCTGGAGCCATAGTACAGTGGGTAGGGCACTTGCCTTGCATGTGGCTGACCCAGGCATTCTGGCATCCCATATGGTCCCCCTAAGCACCACCAGGAGTGATTCCTGGGTACAGCACCAGGGGTAAACCCTGAGCACTGCCAGGTGTACCTCCCCCACTTTTCCTACCAAAACTGAAATTCTCATACAGATAAGAATTGATTTTTAAGTCATTTTACTATTTACAGCATATATATACATATATATAGTATAACAAAATGATAAAACTATTTCTCTGGAAACATTTTAAACACAGTATGCTTCAAAGTGTGATCTGGATGCATTTGCATGTGAATCGCTCTTAATGAATTTCTTTACAATACTGACATATGGGGCTAAGGAGATAGCTCCCAGGGATGGAGTTATGTTTTGTGAGAACCTCAGGTTCCATCCTTAGCACCACATGGTCTCCTGAGCACTGAACACTGCAGGGCTTGGTCCCCGCAAAAATGAAAGGGAATGAAAAACCTATGTATCTATTTTCCCCAGGCCTACTGAATCATACTTAGAGGTGGGCTTTAGGAGTTTTTGTTTAAAAATCTTCCCAAACTGATTCTTATATCTTCTAAAAATTTTGAAACGGTTCCCCTAGAAATTTATTAGCTTTCTAAAGAGAAATCTAATAAATTCTAGGGGAATTGTTTTAAATTTTTAGAAATCTAATAACAGTGGTTATTCCTTAGTCTCATCTAAATAAGTGCTATGTTAACACAATTTTATAACAATATAACAGGCTTACCTTCTCTGGTGGGTGGTTAGTTATGAGGTCTATAGCCCTTTGTGTAAATATGTTTGTTGAATACATATTTTTATAACCTGTTGCAACTTCTTCACCATCTCGAAAATCAAGAGCACACCGTGTAATATTGAGAGCAGTGATTACTGAACAACGCTCATGGGAGTAGTAATCTTCACTACCTAGGAGGTATCCTACAAGAATGGGAGAGAAAGAAGTCAGCATAGCATAAAAATGGTTAAACAAACAAATGTTTCAGCATTTAATTACCTAATGCAATTGATTACCCGTGACAAGGTTAATAAGATGACAAGATTAATCAGAACACCATTCTTAACATCTCTATATTTGACAGCATTGACATATTATTGTAGAAAAATTCGAGTTCATGCCTCAATCAGGTATTCAGAACACAAAGCTCTACCATGTAACTCTCAAAGTAGGAGATTCTAAGTAAAAGTGTTTTAAAAATCAGAATTCAAATTTAATAAAAGTGATGACACTTTATTCTTTTAAAAATCTATCTTATGGCAGAGATGGTACAGGGTTCCTGTGATTTGTTTCAAGTTTAGTCTTTAAAGAGATCAGAAAGAAACACAGAACTAAAAAATGTTGACAATGACATTGGGAGAGTGGTTTCAAGGTTATTTATGAAGTGCCTCTAGGAGGATTCATCTTCGGTCAGATGCTGACACCCACTGGTGAAAGGCACAAATCTTTCCATGATGTCTCTAGTCAGAAAACTCCACAGAGATCAAACTAACATGCAGCACTGAAAATTAGATTTTTCTGCCTACAGCGATGTCATTTTTGCCCCAGATTTAAAGGACATCAACTGTTTATTCCCCAATTTAGATTTAAACATGAAAGAAATGGGTTTTTCTTCACTAATCGTCATTTCTGTGATTGTTCTATATTTTCCTAAAACTCCAAAATCAGCTGCAGTATGCGATGTGTGATTCTATGTATGGGATGAAAGGCTCAAAATAAGTAAATCTATAAGGACAAGAAGTAGCTTAGTGGTTGCCCAGAGCTGACAGGGCTGGAGGAAATAGCAAAAATGGTACTAATGGAGCTGTGTTTTTCTTACGGGTTATAAAAATGTTCTAAAATTGAATTGTGATAAGAGCATCAAAACCCTCTGAATTCTGTAAAAAAAAAAATCATTAAATTATATACTTTAGTTGGCTGAACTCTATGGTATGTGAAGTGAATTGTACTCCTATAGAGCAGTTGAAAGAAAGAGCTGATCTGGTCTCCAGCTATCTTTTGATAAATACTGCATTGTAATCTGAAAATGAAGGAGATAATGGGGCAGATAAAGAGTACAGTAGGTAGGGAACTTGCCTTGCACACAGCACATGGATTTTGTTCCTGGTACCCCCTGAGTCCCGAATAAGTGACCCCTGAGCACAAAGTCAGAAGCCCTGAGAACCACTGGGTGTGACCCCCGCAAAAAGGGGGTGACATGGGAACACAGAGATAGTACAAGCGGTAAGATGCTTGCCTTGTATGCAATTAACCACCTCAACACTGTATGAGATTTCCCAAGCACCAGGAGTGACCCCAAAGCACAGAGCCAGGAATACACCCTGGGTACTACCTGATGTGGCCTAAAACCCACCAAAAATATTTTAAGTGAGGATAACAAAATTGGCCTAGTCCTTTCCCTAGTCCTGAACTTTCTCCATAATTACAATTAAAGGTCTTCCACTGCTTTCATAATAAGTTCATTTTAAATTAATTCCCCCTTTCCATTATTGAGCAAATTCAGAGTCCTGAATACAATATTTGATCTTGTTGTTAGATAACATTTTAAGTCATAACATTTTCTCTCATATGTATAGAATAGGAAAGGAAATCCAGTGCTGGCCAGTTAAAGGAATAAATGTATCTATATGGGAGTTCTATGCATTTTTAACAACATGCTGTTAAAGCTTAAGGAATCACAGTTCCTGTAAATATAAACATTTTTACAGGGGCACCCCAGAGGGGGCCGGGTGAGCCCACCACCAACCCAAACAGAGCCTCAGCAGCCGAAAACCTCCAGAACCTACTCATTGCCATGCTTAGTGTCAATCTCCACAGGTTTGTGTGAGCCTCATCCATGAGGGAATCAGTCGAAATACTCAGGTATGCAGGGTTTGTGACCAAAATCTCCAGGCTCTCATGGAGTCAGGAATGTGCAACGTCCTCCAACCTCCCTGTTCTTCTGGGAGCCTGGCAGTAACACTCATGAACTGAACTGCCTCTGGCGCCATATAAGCTCATTAATGGCCATGATCCAGAGACTCACCAAGAAGAGTTAAACAAGCTGCAGAGATGCCTCAGACCCCAAAATCATCACCCAGTTAAAAATCACCCCATTTAAAATTTTAGAATTCCTGCAGAGACATCTCATTCTCTAAGCCACTGATGAAGCAGGAGTAGCACACCTCTTTGGATGGGGTGTAAAGAGAAAAGCAACTGATCTTGATGATTATATATATATATATATATATATATATATATATATATACACACACACACACACAAGGCTCAACCTATAACAACATATTAGTAATCTCTCATACAAGGGCTTAATGGCTCCAGGGTGAGATACAACAATCTTCACAAACTTTCTTCTAATGAAACCTTTTTGATCATTTTTAGCAGATTATTCATAACAAGAAATACAAAATAAATTATTTAGGACCTGCTATTAAGACAGGCCTGGGTGATGGTTGGGAAAATTCGAAGTAAGGGTGGTGGGATTGGTGTTGTAATATTGAATGTAATAAATTATTGTGAACAACATTGTCATTGTCACTGTCACTGTCCTCCCGTTGTTCATCAATTTACTCGAGCAGGCCCAGTAATGTCTCCATTGTGATACTTGTTACTGTGTTTGGCATATCAAATACATCACGGGTAGCTTTCTAGGCTTTGCCATGCGGGCAAGATACTCTCGGTAGCTTGCTGGGCTCTCCAAGAGGGGCGGAGAAATCAAACCTGGGTCGGCCGGGTCGGCCGGGTCGGCCAAGTCGGCTACGAGCAAGTCAAACACCCTACCCCCTGTGCTATCGCTCCAGCCCCAACAACATTGTAAAAATTAAAACAGTTAAAGAAATTTTTAAAAAGTATAGTTTGGGTAAATAAGATAAACATAATTAAAAGGTGCTAAAACTATGAATATCAAACAGATATTATAAATAGGATGATTCTAACAATATAATCACCTACTTAAATACATGCCAAACTGATAACTAAGCAACCATGTGACAACCATGGCAATTATGTGGATATCGCTTCATAATAGTAATTTACAAATTTTAACTTATCTGCAGAGACTGAAAAAAAACTATAGTCTGTACTTTGTTTTTGATTAAAAGGGGAAAATCTTTAAACAACCAAATTTGTGCTTTAACAGTTTTATTGAGATGTGAGATGTAAGTATTGAGATGTAATAATGACCTTCTAAGTCATTATGTAAAGTGCATAATTCAGTGGTTTAGGTATGTTCATAAAGTTGTACAGCATCCTCATAATCATCTGAATACTCTGTTGAGTTTTGGGGCCACACCTATTGATGCTCAAGGCTTACTCAAGCCTCTGCACACAGGAATCATTTCTAGTGGTACTCAGGGAACATATGGGATGCCCAGGATCAAATCCAGGACAGCCGTGTGCAAGGCAAGTGCTCTAACAGCAGAAATATTGCTATGGTCCCTTGAATGCTTTGTAACAGAACATCTAATCACATAGTTGCCACGGTCGTACACAAACACCTGACTTGTAGGTAAGCCTCCCTCCAAATGAATACAAGTAGACTTACTCTAAATTCCAGGTAAACCTTTTTAGTTCTCATAAATGTGTGTCATTTCTACCTTCTATTCAAATGAATATCATTTTATTGAGGGGTGAATTGGGGCCACACGTGGCTTGCTTAGGGGCTAGTCCTGGTTCTCAGGTGTGACTCCTGGCAGTAATCAGGAGACCATATGTAATGCTGGAGATTGAAACCAGGGCCATAGCAGCTGCAGCTGCATCTAGAGCAAGTGCCTTAACCTCTGTGCTATCTTTCCAGCCCTCAAACAAATTTAAACACACATGACTCTTAAGAGAAAAGTCAAAATCTCTATAGTTACCCTCATTACCATCATACCAATCCACCTTCAGTTCTGGTTGGAAATTGTCAAAGAAGAAAGACTGTTTTTCCTGCTAGAATTTCTAAGATGACCGAAGAGGATTTAACCCCAAAGGCCCTTTTTATTTCTTTTCTTTCTTTCTTTCTTTCTTTTTTTTTTTTTTTTGACAATTTTGGGCCACACCGGGTGGTGCTCAGGGATCTCTCCTGACAGAGCTCAGGGGACCACACACAATGCTGGGGATTGAACCCAGGTCAGCATTGTGCAAAGAATGTGCCTTAACCACTGTACTATCTCTACCACCCTTCCAAGTCCAATTTTTAATAGCGGTTTGAGAACACTGAGGATAGTTCTCGCTTCACCAAGAAAAAAATGCCACAACTGTCTGGCCGTGTCTGTTGGAGAAGCCAGATGGGGCAAGGGTGCACTTGATCTCCCGTCTTCTTACTCTCAGCTCAAGCCTGGGTCCAACAAGGCACAAGAGAACAGTGTACTAAAACTGCATGTTTGATCCCCTCTCACTTTCACTGCAGTGCACGTGGGCATTCTGACCATGATTGGAGTAACACGGGGTGGAAGCCTCAAACAATCCCTGCAGGAAAACCATCATCACAAAGAGGACACATCTGAGGATGTTACCCTCTTACCCTTTCACAAAGGTATTTTGCTCTTCCAAAGCATCTGGTTTCCATTTAACTCTTTAATAATGTGACTCTTGAGGCCTTTTTCTTTCTTAATCCCACCCCCTCCCCACCAGACAAAGAAATTCTTGATTCTTGGAGCTCAGTGCAAAGCAAACCCAAGCTCTGCAGGTTTTGTACCTCCATGCCATGCAGCTACTCCATCTTTTTCTGTTCACCCTAGAATTTTCATGCTATTTATTTTTAACATTTTTTTCAATCCGTGGACTTTGTGGCAATAGCAAGTTCTAAAATAAACGAAGAGTCAAATGGTGGGGAGAGAAGGACGTAAATGACTAAATTTCATGTGACTACTGGTGAGGTAAATGGATTGTTAATTAAGAGATAGTTCATAACAGGTGTAAAATGGGCACGTTTAAAGAAAAACTATAGAGTTTTTTTTTTCTGTAGGGCTACCAAGTCCATAAAATACTTCTGATTTCTTATAGTCTTCCCTATAAAATGCTTCTGATTTTTTATAGTCTTCCCTATAAAATACTTCTGATTTCTTATAGTCTTCCCTATTGCCATGTACTATTCACCATCCAGTTTTATCTTTTTAAATCTATCTTCGGAACTGATGAAATCATTGAAATCATTTTAAAATCATTTCTCACACAAGGAGGTAAGGATGCCAAAAGAAGAGCCTTCTTTCCCTTTCCCAGGAAAATCAAGCAAACAGCAACAACAACAACATCTTGAACCAATCCACAGAGGGAAACAAATAGTTAGGCACCTTTGCAAAAGAAAAATATTGTGTTTTATCTTATAATTGTCACTGTCACTGCCCTCCCGTTGTTTGTGATTTGCTTAAGTGGGCCCAGTAATGTCTCCATTGTGAGACCTGTTGTTACTGTGTTTGGCATATCGAATACGTCACGGGCAGCATGCCAGGTTTTGCCGTGTGGGCGAGATACTCTCGGTAGCTTGCTGGGCTCTCTGAGAGGGGCAGAGTAATCGAACCTGGATTGGACCAGTTGGCTGCGTGCTGTGCTATCGCTCCATTGGATTTCCTTTTGGTAATAAGGTCTCTACCATCCACTGGTCTTGGAGACAGCAAAGTCTTTGCAAGCACTCAGCACCTGGCTGGCTGGGGAGTGCAGGACCATGTTTATAAAGGGAGGAACCATTGGTTTGTTTGGGTTTTCACATCCAGCGGTGCTTAGGACTTATTCCTGGCTCTGTGTTCAGGGTTCATTCCTGGCAGGGCTCAGTAGACCATATGGGATGCCAAGGATGAAATTCAGGTGGGCAACGTGCAAGCCTGCCTATCCTATCTCACCATCCTTGGACAGCCATTGAAAAGCAGGCCCACGATGGGGCCTGTGGACTCGCTCTGGGTTCAAGTTTGCAGTTATTTCATTTGGTTGTATTTGGGTTTGTTTTTATGGGAAGGCTGCAGTCAGTTAGTTGGTTGGCTTGTTAAAGAAACATATGCATTTCCATTACCAAAGTAGGTATCAAATCCTCGGCGGGTGGGAAGGCATTCTTTCCGGTACATTCCCAGGTGCCACTTTCCGACCATGTGGGTAGCGTAGCCTGCTTCTTTCAGCAGCTGGGGCAGGAGTTTCTCATCCAGGGGGACGCAGCTGGGCTGGCAGGGCCAGATTATCTGGTGCTGCAACCCTGTGCGAATCTTGAAGATAAACATAAAAGTAAGAATTAACAACGCTGAAAAATTCCAAAGTGACTGCCTAATTGATTGGACTTATCTGTAGATTTAAATGCATTAGCTCTATCCTCGAGCTGCTGATATAAGGCTCATCCTGAAATGTCTGTCTGTTATCCACTGATTTAAATAAAGTGACAGATATAAACAGGCCTCAACAAATAGTTATTATGGGTCTATGTCAGAAACCATTAAGTTTTCACTTTATACCTTAAAAAAAAGTAGCCGTAATCTGAGTGGTGGATCTGTAAGAAAAAGATGCTCCCATTTCTGTGCATGTAAGAGGCTGGTATTTTTTGGGAAAGACCTTCTGTACTCTTCACAGCCTGAAGAATTTTGGAAGGTTTTCTCGGCAGTATCATGGAAGGGATATTGCTTTTTTAATTCCACTGGATGTAAATCACAGCATAGAAACCAGTGTGGCTATTGTCACAAGTGTGAAATTACTGGAGGCTGCTGTAACCCCTGCTGGAGGCTGGGGTCCTCAGAGGTTTCCTTCCTTTTCTTCTCTGCCCCTCACAAAATGTCACATTCCCCTTTCTCCTTGGCCTAGAAGCTGGTCTGCTTTGATTGATGAGGGGTTTGGGGAGCAGGTGGGGGTGGGGCTGGTCTCACATCAGACTCTGTACCACATACCAGCTTTTCTTAGAGTGGGTTATTCTTCTTGTCCCTAAAATACATTGAGATCTTAGGACACCAAAGGTTCAGAGCACCAGTTCTCAACCCAGATCACAGCTCTCTGGCATCCTTATCAGTTCTGAGGAAGGTAGCAAGCGATGACTAATGTCTTTTTTTAAGGGTTTTGCAAAAGAATGACTTGCTTTTTACTTCACTGATTTTTAATTTTGGGAGTTTGGGCCCATCCAAAACAGTCTTCACAGGTTATGTCTGGCTTGGTACTTAAGGACCATGCAGTACCAGGGATCAAACCCAAGGCTCAGCAAGCAAAACATGTGCTTCAGTCCTTTGAGCTATCCCCCAGGCTCCTGGTTTTTATTTATATCATAAATCTCAGAATTAAATCCCATCCCAACTGTACCATCAAGCACATATTGATCAGCCACCCACTGTCACAGTAATAACCTTAAGAACCATTATCAACACCATATCTCATGTGACCACCTTTATTTCATGTGATCACTCAAAGACACCAGAGGAAACTACAGACAATTTGTGTCTGAACCCGGCTACCCCAGAGCATTCCAAGTGCATGTGAAGATAACATAAAGCAGTGGTCTTCACCCACTGGTCCACAGACCTGTACCAATTCACAGGTGTAGAAAGACTGCAGACCTGTAGTCAGTCACCTGAGTTATAACTGCCAGTCCATGGACTATTTTGCAGAACAGGAGCCAGTCCACAGGTCCACAGCACAAAGCTTATAGAAAACTGATGTATAGAGCATGCTAGCAATACTGGTTTACATTTATATCGGTTCTAATGGAAGACTGAGTTATCACTAATCATCTTTGATTCAGAATGCTGACCTCTCAGACCATATGGATTCACAGACCCTTCTGTTTTTGTTTTAAGTATGTAACAAAAAATAACATGGAAGGGGGAAGTCTTCAAATTCACAAAATTTCCCCTGTTTTATTCTAAGTTACAGTAAATAGCCTTTTAGTAAGCTCCCATACTATCTTGGACTTTGTTTGCACACCAACATTTAAACGTTGCTACTTCTTGATTTCATGATATCTTTCTGGAGAAAAGAAAAATGGGCTCTCATAAAAAATAAAGTGGATATATTTTGAAGATGATGGTTATATGGTTATGTTTGCTGACAGCAACAATGGTTTCAAGGTCATGCACATACCAAAACCCATCAAACAGTATACTTTAAGTAGGTATACTTTTCTATAAGTCAATTGATGAAGATGCTGAAAAACAAATGTTTTCCATTGAGACTTTCATTCCTCTGCTAGAAGCAATTGGACACCTACATTGGGATTCCTCCTGCTTCCTTTGCTCTGTCCCTGCTCACCTCCAAACTATGCTGCCTTCTGGCTTTCTCTCCATCTGCATTACCCCAAAAGGATACCAAGATGTGGAAAATGGGTCAGAGTCAGGGTTGCAGGTTTGTATGCACAAGGTCCTGAGGTCTAACCCTGTCACCATAAAGTTGCCTACCCTACTGCTGGATACTGCCTTGGAAGCCCCCTAGAGAACAACCAGGGGTGACCCTGGTGACCTCCAGCACCTCTAGGCCCGAATATCACTGCCTCACCAGGCCAAGAAATGAGCCATCAGCTCAGCTGGCCAAGTATCATGGCCTGTCAATTCTCCTCTGACCCATATCCACACACATACCAAAATGAAAACCAAAAGAACCCTGGCTTTCTGCCTTCTGATTTGGTTCAGTCAATAAAGGGCCCTGAGGAGGTCTAAGGACTCAGTGATGAGTGGTCTCTGCCTGCCACGGCATTAGGCTTTCACGGCATAGTATTCTAAAGGCAGTCTTAGCTACACAACACTCTCTTGGGATTCAGGTGACAACCCTTTTCCGACCCCCTTCTAGTCTAGGGGTAGTAGCAATTCTATTGAGTCCCCATACTACCTCGTTTATAGTCACACATGCACTAACTTCTTATTAGTCTCTTTATGTATAAACTTCCTAACTGATCTTAATTGGAGTGTGCCATCTTTTTCCAGCTGGGACCCTGAGTGATAAAGACGTGACAATATCAAGGCTGACAAGGGGAAGAAAGCAGACAGCAGACAGCATATACAGGCAGACACACACATAGACACAGACACAGACACAGACACACACACACACACACACACACATACAGAGAAATTACAGGGTCCTGGCCACTCATCTATTGGTTAGCACTGGAAGTTTATTCAATCAAAAAAAAAATGATCCTGGGTTCAAAAATGTGATAATATACGCTAATTGGCAACAGAGCAGGATAAGGAGAGAGATTTTTTATAGAACACAAAAGACCCAGTGGAGATAAATGCTCTGTGCAAATTTCTTTAAATGGAAAATGCATTCATCACATGTGGAGAATTAACTCCAATGGCTATAAAGCACTGCCAAGGGAGGCTGTGTGATTCGCTCTTCCATGGGCATCCAGCCAGGTGGTCAGCTGAAGTCTGCCTCTATTATCTATAATCATATGGAGTAGGGAATTTGTTCCTTTCAGTTCCTGAAATTTATTTGACAAAAGCATTTTTATGGTGTTACTGGGGAAGCGGAAGCCAAGTTCTGGATGGCAGTCGAAAACACGTTGTTGGTCTGTTCAAACACTATTTGAAGTGAGGAAGCTGTAATGTGTAGAAAAGCAGTAAACAGCCCGACACTGTGCTGGTTCCAATCCAGCACTTTAGCTTAGCACAGAATTATATAGCCACATGCTTCATGGACAGGATGATAACAGGGCCCCAAAAGCAATCAAACGAAACCGTTAGCATCCACTGATAAAATAAGAGCATCTGAAACAACTCCCCATTCCAATGATCCTGTTTGGGAAAGTATCTCCAACGTGTGAATGGAAAAGGTATGCTAGATAAAATAGGAAAGTCCAAAGAGATGATTTTTTTTCTACAATGTGTAGGTGGTTCCTTTTTATCAACCAAAAACAAACAAAAAACCCCAGATTGAACTGGATAAAGAAACTATGGTACACAATGAAATATAATGGCAATAAGATGAAATCATGTGATTTGCTTCAGGGTGGATGGATCCGGTAAGTATCCTGCTGAGTGAAGTGAATTAAGCAGAGGGAGAGAAATACAATGATCCCTCTCATTTGTGGGACAAATGACCCAACACAACAGAATCTAAGAACTGGACTAAAGAATCAACCTTACCATGACAGGGAGATGAGGGGACAGCGGTCTGAGGGGCACGGAGGTAAGAGGGAAGGAGAGACTCTGAGACAACCATGATGGCAAACAGGCTCTCTGGGGGGCAGAGTGGTGTTAGAGTGTTGTATGCATGAAACTCAACCATTGACAGTCTAGTAAACCTGTCAATCATGGTGACTAAAATAAAATTAAAAACAAAACCAGCTTCTCTTATCAATTTTTGTTTTGTTTTGGGGTCACCCCTAGCATTCCAGCCTCTCTCTTACCACTTCACTTGCCATCAGGAATCCCGAGGCAATCAGTACTTTTCCATTTCCTACTGCACAGAGAGTCTGAAAATTTCATAAGTTGCCTCAGTTCTTTTTCGTGAGATAGGTGATGAGAACTCCTTAACCTGTCTCCTGGCTTATAAAGTTTCATTTGGTCCCAGGAGCTACTGTGTCCCCTGGAGAGGCTATGGCCTCACAATCTTAATGCTCAAAAACCAACCTCCTGGTGGGGGGTGTAAAAGAGGGAAGCTCCCACAGAAAAGTTTGTCCAGTTCAGACTTTCCAAGGATTCTGTTTGGAGGCCCAGCCCACTATCATTCTTAGGTGAACACTTAGGTGAACTATGGCCACGTGCCAGGCCACTGATGTTCCTTCTCCCCCTCACTTCATGAGTGCTGAGATAATACCAGAACAGAAACTTATGTCCTCTCAGTCTGTCCTATGCAAGAGGATATTTTCATTGCACCCACACATTTCTGCAACACCTTCTGTCACAATATTTGAAAATGCAAGGAAAATGGCAGTTTTGCCCAACTACCTCACCTACCAGAGAGCCTCAAAGAAGTTTCATGATAGAACACAACCGCAGGGCCCAATGGTAGGTAGCCAGAACTTTGGAATTTTCGTCCTATGCCCTGGCAAAATATACTATGCTCAAGTACCACTTGCAGAACTTCAGGCGTTCTTCCTAGAGATCGCCCACAGAACAAATGGGTAGTGAATAATCTGCTCTCTGCCCTCCCCTTAAGCCTTCTAAAAGGGAGTCAGCTGCCCAGGCTTTCAAAGCCAAGAGCTACAGAATGCACATTATGTGTCCGAGGGGCCTGGCACTACCATCTGGCCTGGCCCTTCAGAGCCCAGGCAGCAGAACTGGCTGGTGTC